GGGGGCAGTGGCAGTGACAGCTTGGCTTCGGTGATAAAATTCCGAAATGTTTTGACTGGAAAGTCAACAAGCCTTCGAGTGGCTCGTTCCCTAGGGATTGCTGAAAGATTATTGGTGGATATGATTACGTCTCACCGCCCCAACATGCCAAAGCACCAACACTAAGCTGTTTATGTCAGCCTTGGTCAGCAAGCCGAAGGTACCAGGAATGTCGCCTTGCTGCGGCAAGGTGAATCTTCACGAACTGCTGCAGGTGAAAGGAAAACGTTCTCCACCGAACGTGCAAGAACCTGGGAAGAAGCGGGGAGGATGAAGTAATTGCGTTAAGAGCAGTGTACAATGCCCTGTAGAAGAGTCACGTAGAGTAGTATTGCGAATCACAGAATTCGGGAACGTACGCCAGAGAGTCAGGCGCCTGTTATTGGGGTGCTGGTCGGCAAAATAAGTATTGCCTACTTCAGAGTATAACACTTCAGGCATCCATAAACTCTATTGTGTTTGATCGTCAATTTTCTCGGAATGCCCCGCCAAGAAGAAAGCGAAACGTGCCTCAGATCATAATACAACTTCGAGTAGTGCTGCTGGCCTCTAACAATTAATTGCGTCTTGACATTCCATTGCTAAACGGTGGATGATATACTAGTCATTTTGTGCAAGACTCCGTCACTCGAGGCGTAATGTGTACAATACACGAGAAAAGCGAAGACCAATTTGTTCTTTGGAGACTTTATAACATTCACTTCCGTTCGCTTCCATGTCGTTTGGGCGACACCGCCCGTTTGCTCTTCGAACTGAACGTAACTACCTGCCTGCCTGCCTGACTTCCAGCACGTGGATGGAATTATCTTAAGATGCGTTAAACACTTGTTTTCGAAGTGTGCGATAGCAGTACTTGTAGAGTTCCCTCAGCTTCAGACTGAGGCTGCGTTCGCGTTACACTGTATTTTGGTATTTGTTATTATGTTACATCGCAAGTCAAACGGGCAATCATGCCCAGTGTTATGATGATGATGGAAAGGGAGAAAAGACATTAGTAGGTGTATTCAATGTTTTTGTTCTGGACTTGCTCGTGGCTCCACTCTAGGATAACGGTACAGTACAAGAATGTAGTGCCCTCCGAGATGTACGGTATAACATGCATCTTAGACCGGAAGGCAACGAACCCGAGGGGTTTGCAGGCATGCGAATACAGGTGAGAAACTAAAGTATCAGTGTATCGGGGACGAACCATCGCTGAGAATACGGCAATATCAGCAGAGAATCAACCCGGCGGTACCCTTTCAAGATGGAGCTGACAGCAGAATTACGCAATCTCTGACTGAAAAAGACCTTTGTGTGAATGCTCAACACTTTGGCCGAGGGCTTAGAAATTCGGAGTATAAAAGTGTTGTTCTGCCTGAAGGTGGCCCCGTTCATATTGCCGGTTCACCACAAGGCGTTACGAACTGGTTTTCAGATCAATGAACGTCGTGAACTGGCTCTGCAGAGACTTGGTTATGGACCTCGCGGCCGAGCGGATGCCGATCGCTCATGACCAATCATGTATTCTGGCGCAACGAACGTGTGGTTCACGATGTACATGTACTTGACTGGGTGCGTGCCAACTTTCTCTCAGTGGCCTAACACACCGCCGCATATCCGCCAGTAAAGACATAAGCATTGTCCTTACTGACTTGAGGCTCACCCCGCAATTTATGCTCTAGAACATGTTACCATTGAAGACCAGAAACTACTCGGTGCAATTGAAAACTAGAAAGGACCACAGGGCATCATCGTAACATTTGTCTCCGGGAGTGATGCTGTTACTTGAAACATTTACATCATTTTGAAGGAACGATTGTGCTAGCAATTACCTCCGCTTGGCGTCAGTTGATTGACTGTCCACCCCAGTTTCATGTAGTGACGGTAACCCTCAATGCCTCCTTCATGCAACAATTATGGTCATGCGTTCCACCAACGCTAATGTGACGTCCCAGAAAAGTCCAGTGATAAGGATGATGATAGTGCAGTTTGAGACTGACCATGGCCGCATTCCTAGCTTCCAGATAGTACTTCGCTCTTGCTTCACCCGGACAACGTTTCACGCTGAACGCTCCATACACCTGTGATCCAAGCCTGAGGCGGCTACATAATAGATCTATTATACTAGTAGTTCTGTCCGCAGATTGAGTAATAGATCTATAGTAGAGTCACTACTATTAAACGTGAATCCCTCGCATCTAAACACCGTTGTTGTTGACACGTCCCGTGTTAGACATCACACTTTGATCAAGTGAGTGATGCCGTTAGGTGTGGCTTCTGCAACTGAGACTTTGATTTCTTTGCTAGTTCCTTTGTTCTGGTGTGTTCCTTAGAATAAGGAGCAGCGTGACCCCCTTGATCTCCAGCCAACCCAAGAAGAGAGGTGTGACTATCTAAGACATTTCTTCTTCTGGCATACTGCATGATAGTGTTGCATGCAGTCAATCATGCGAGTAATGACCCGCGATCGGGTATGGGAAGTGTGTTGTTGCTCGCCAGTTCCTGGCGTTTTCGCGTGGTTGAAAGTATGGAGTGAGTCATAATGGTTGTGAGGCCAGAAGAAAGTGTCGTTATTCGTCAGTTGGTATACCTGAGGCTGGTACTCTCGAAGTTGACTGAACTTCGTTTTCTTCCATACGCTACCGTCTAACATTACCATTATTATTATCCGCCAGGACGGCCCGCAACGTGTTGTGTATCTGGCTGTCACAGCGTAAACTAAACTCGAAAGGTCAATAAGCAACTTGCGAGCAGTTGTGGTCCGCGCAAGTGGAGCTTCCCCTGTGGGGACGGGGGGGGGGGGGGACACCAATGGACACACAACAGGGACCCCCCCCCCCCCCCCACACACACACACACACACACACTTGTCATGTACTTGTTGGTCACTGCAACACTCATCACGTGGGTCTCCTCGAGAGAGGGGAGAGAGATTCAAAAGGAATATTGGAAAGATGACTCAATTGGCTATTGAACCGCCCAACGGCCGACACCCCTTGAAATCCCCAAACTCTGGGTAGACTTGTAAATGACAGACACACACGCACACGCACACACACACACACACACACACACACACACACACACACACACACAGCCCGGGTCAAGAGACAACACCAAGCAGATCATTTCCCTCTCTGCGAGTTCATCCGTGGCACTGAACACTCTTTCCATCTTGCCACGGGTACCCGCGGGTGCTCACACCAACAAAGATTACAGGCGGTTAACATTCGTGCTCAGTAGATAATACTGTAGGCCATTAGTCTGACGTCTATGGCCCAAGATGGTATGATACATTTCTGCTTGGCCGACCGCATGAAAGCGCTGCTCGCAGATAGTTCAGACCAGGGAGTAGTTTTTTTACTACACCCTAAGGGTGGGACCAACTATTGGCTTTCAAGACACTTCACTCTCACAGTACATGATCCTACAAGGCACACACGCAAGCCACCACAATAATAATAATCATGTCTCAGCAATCACGACTGGCATTTCCACGGGCAGGCCTCCAGCTAGAACATTAGTTGCACCAGAGCAGCATTACACTGCACAACGCCAGATATCGATAAGGGTGTAACGAATGAATGTTTCTCCCCAGGCACAAACCTATTCCAGTTGTTGAATGTCTGCGACGGAGGAAGGGAGGCAAGTTCATGATGGCCCAGCACCGATGATTTCAAATACATCTTCTCTGCACATCACTGCCATCTTCTCAGATTTGTGTTGGGTTTCAGTTCCCGTTATGGCAACAAAGAATTGGATTGAGTTTTTTTCTTCAGATTCTTGGCGTTTTGTTCATTTTTTTGTATTGAGATTTTGTGTCATAATATTATGTAAGCACATTTGCTTTGCCCGTACAAGAGGCTGGATTTCAAGTACATGACTTCAATTCTTTCAGTAGATCAGATGCCGTACACAGAATTACGGCAGGGATGAGATGAAAACCTTGGCGTTTAGCACGCAACCGTTGTTAGTGTGTTTAGTTGTGTGTGTGCGTGGGTATGTCCGTATGTGGACAATGTGTGTGCGCGGGTGTGTGTGTGTGTGTGCGCGCGTGTGTATGTGTGTGTGTGTGTGCGCGCGTGTGTGTGGTTAATGTGTGTATGTGCTTGTGCGTGTGTGGCCTTGTTGACCAGTATACTTCTCTTGTATTGGGCAACGCTTCAGAGTTGCCTGTAGTACAGTGTAGTACGATATCATGTACTCCACTTGTTTTCTTCAAAGCCCCACAATAGCAAGGAGGTACGTGTACAAATGAAGAGCTAGAGAGAAAAGGGAAACCAAGGAGGAGTCGAGGTGGGAAAGGAAAAATAAGGATTAGAACTTTGAAAGGATCGGTCACGCAATACGCTTACTTCCCATTGTGGATAGGATTGACATCCCTACGCTAGCTACAATGTACTCGGTACTACAGTAGTAGTAGTACTCGGAGAGGACTTGAAAGTGCTACGTCACAGTTGCCATGATAATGCTGACGTTTGGATCCCGTTTGCATTGACCCACACACGTTTCGTTGATTTTCCTGTATAATACCGTATTATACCCGGCAGAGTGCAACTTGCTCCAGGAGTGACTGGGCTTGGTGAAGTGATGAACTATGTGTAGTAGTCGGTAGTAGTTTACTTGGAAGCATGTTTCAGGTGTGATGAGGTCGGCTAGATTGGATGTGTGCATGTGGTGGAGGAGGAGCTACTTCTGAAGGTCATGTACATCTAGATCAACCCGCTTTCAAGGAAATTTACATTACACCATTCCAATGTGTAGTGTAAACTTTTTTAAATTGGAATCGCAGTGAAGAGACCGTTTTTGGAGTTTGGAGTTGAGAAGCGAAGTTTCCTACATTTGTAAGTGGCTGCGTTGGAGTTTGCGGACAACTAGAAAAGTAGACAAACCCTCATTAAAAAAATACACCTTGTTTAGACAGTGAGAGACGGTTTCGTAAGAGTGATTGTAGTCTTTCCTCCGGTGGACACGTCATCTGAACTCAGCTGAAGATTCAGCAGAAACACCACGGCTGGCAATACAGCCAGAGAAATGCAAGAAATATATCAAACGAAAGTCCATGGAAGCATAGCGCGGTTGCCGAGAAAATTTGTGAAAGCAACTGCAACGCTTTGCAGCGTTCGTTCGGCAACGCTGATACTAAAGATAAACTAAAATGATTCAAAACTGTCAAAAATCCACAAAGTGACATGTAGTAACAAATACAATGTACAATGTACTCGCATAGCGGGCTACAGTCGTACAGAGAGCTGAGGAGGAAAACATTTTGATTCTGGCCGAATCTGAATCTGCGAAGAAATACTCAAGACCTTTCCGTGGTTTCTTGTTTCAGAACACACACATACGGTCACACATAGTCACGCACGCACACACACACACACACACACACACACACACACACACACACACACACACACACACACACACATACACACACACACATAGTCACACATAGCCACACAGTCACATTCAGAGTCGGAAAAAATCAGTAATCCTAGAATTTCAAAAGCCAGCAGCGAGTTGTAGAGATAATTGAAAATTTCGAAATGGGTAAAAACAATGGCAAATTCCAAGAGAGTAGCGGGGAAAGTGCAAAGAAAACAGATTTTTGGAAGATTGGCTCATGTACATGTATTTATTAGGAAAATGACCAGACAATATCAGTAAAGAGCAGGAGGGATCTTTATGGGCTGGTAAAAAGGAGCATGGTCTTTAGCGAGGCATGTCGTATGTAACGGCAATGGACACCGACATAGAAAGGGAAATGTGCAGGACGTTCGGTATCCTACCACTCTGTGACTCCATGATGGAGTCCCCGAAAGGAGAACCTGGTTGTGTGAGAACAGTGACACATTCATGCTGGTTCTGCCGGTGTTGCTTCTGCCGTTTGGATTCTTGTTATCTTTACTCAAATCTAGGTACGTGCCGGGGGTCTAGAGATGGCCATCCTCAGCTGCTTGTGTTCTGGCCACATGGCTGTCTTGAGGCAGCAAGGCTCAGCTGCCGGCGTTCTCCGTCAGCGCGGACAGCGCCTGCTGCATGCGTATCCAGGAGCTGCGTCGTCGGCCCTGCCATCGCCTGAGCATGCCGAGCCACGGCTGCGCCATCCAGGGCCAGAGCAGAGGCATGGCGGGGACGCGCAGTGCGGACGCGGCCTGACGCAGCGTGTCCGGCATTCCCTCCACGTCCAGAGCCGACACCGGCTTGAGATTGCCCATGTCCGGGGAATCCCCCGACAGCTCCTCGTACTGGTGGGCGAGCAGTCGCTCGCACAGCTCGCGTCCGAACACGCTCTGCGCGATCAGTCGTATATCGCCCTCATCCAGCAGCAGAACGTCCGACAGCTTCTCCAGCCGGCCGCCGATGTTGATGAACGAGGCGACCATCTGGCGGCCGCGCTGTGGCTGGGCGTTCTGCTCGGCTATGCTGTGGGCGGTGGCGCTCTGGCCGCGCAGGAACGTACGGTACACGCTCAGCGCCGTGCTGAACGGCACTGCATCGTAGTGGCCATTGTCCGGCGGTGCCAGTGAGCGTAGCTGACGAGGACTGCAACAAGAACAAGCCAGAAAATAAATAAATTATTGGGTGGAGGAAAGCAAATCAGCACACGAAGCACAGAAGCCATAATAGGTTCGACCAAGAGTACATAACTCCCCAGAGTGCGCAAGTACACTTATCAGATCTGGGACGGCAAAATCCGTGTTGCACGTCATAATAATGACATCATGAGTAGGGGAAGTGTGGACGTGGTACATCGCGTCGATGGAATGACGCAAGTCCGACCCAAAAAAATGACATACATCACGGACTAAGCCGTCCCACAACCCCATCCCAGTTGGGCACTCTGGGGGACAATGGACACTTGGTTCGACTAGTCAAAACTATTCGGCTATATGGCTTCTGTGCTTCGTGCGCTGAAAAGAAATCAAGCGAGCGCACTCATACCACGGCACCAATGGAACAATATGCAAGGATTGGAGCAACGTTTTCATGTCATTATCATCGGAAACCGTCCTCACACTGAAAAGAACGAAGATTGACTGAAAAAAAAGGCGCCGACGTGTTATGTTGAAATCTGAGGAATACAACTAACTGGTATGGCTTCGATAACTACACATTATCCTCCTGTACGCGTGGTGAGTGCTCTGGTGTGAAACTGTGAGCCACACAATTGTTTCGCCATTCTCTGAATTCCCTTCTACTCTCCCCACTACTAACAGTTTGTGATCTTTGCTGCATTGCTCTGGACCCTGGGCAATCATTTCAGCTAAATGTGTTTCAGAATCGAAGGCATCAAAGACATTGGAAAAGTCCAGACATTGAGCATGAGAAAAGTGCACGAGATCTTCTCCAACAAATGGCCAAATGTCATTGCCTGTTCGTCTTCCCTCTGCGTGTTATTCACATGCACAGTCAACTTGGCTAATAACGACTGCGGATATAACGGCAATTCGCGAATAACGACAGAATATCCATGCCCAGAGCAAAGTCCTTTCCAACCGTAATACATATAATGAGACTTTGGGTATAACGACACTTCGCGAATAAGGACACTTTTCTGATGCCCCGCCGAGTGTCGTTATAAGCAAAGTTGCCTGTACAAGTAACGAGCAATGCGGACATTGGGATTTCATGGGATTTCATGGGATTTCATGGGATTTCATAGGATTTCATGGGATTTCATGGGATTTCATGGGATTTCTTGAATGTTCGATAAGGGTAGTAAAGATATGTTGTAAGTTAGTCCGTACCTGATGGCGGATATGTCTGTTTCAATGCCGCGCAGCTCAGCTCCGAGAGTGTCTACGATCATGTTAGTAATGTGCTGCAACAGCACCGCACACTGCTGCCTGGCGTCCTTCACACACCGTACCAGCAACTGTGAACACATATAGACACACGTACACACACACATACACACACACACGTGTTCATGCACACACATACCCAAGCACAAGCACACGCATATATGTAGGACTCAGTATAGAGTCCATGCACTATATGATGTCCAGCACCCTATATAGAGTCCATTGGTCCAAAATCCACTATACAGAGTCCAGGAGTCCACTCAGTTTTGATCAGCTTCATCCTGCCGCGCAATCCCCTATAAGGAGTACACTTTTTCTACAAGTCCCCTATTCACAGTCCAGGAGTCCAGTTTATCCAGTCACGCCGTCCTGTGTGTTGTGCCCGAAAGAGAACACATTTTCAGTTTTGCTTGCCTCGTGGCAGCGCATTCCTTTCTTCACTTCAGCCATGGCTGCCAATTCTGCTGTGCAGTTGCTGACAGTAATCTGTCTCGAGCTAACCAAGGAGGATAAGGAGACGTTCAAAATCAAATCTGGAAAGCGTCTTGTGGTTCTCTGAAGACGTTTCATCAGTGCGCGGGATGAAAGCAGAAATTGCAGAACGAGAAAAGTTCAGCACAGTTTAAATCTGACGAGTCAGGTACACTGACGGTCTCTTTCGTTCGACGCCACAAGGATCCCCTGTTTGGCTGGCCATTGCTGCCAGTAAGACGTTTGAACGGTTTCATCAGAGCGAGGGATGAAAGCAGAAAGCGGAGAAAGAGAAAAGTTCAGCACAGTTGCAATCTGACGAGTCAGATACACTGACACTCTCTTTCGTTCGACGCCACAAGGATACCCCTGTTTGACTGGACAAGAGCTGCCTGTACAACCGTGTCAAAAGGCTGTCCAACTACATGGCAGGACGATGACTGAGGTAAGGAAGCTTTTACTCGTTTCGATTGGTCTGCTGTTCTGTCGTTATGCTTGGATTTTTTTTTCCATTTTCAAGGAGCGTATCGCGTTTGTTTGATGTTGCTTGAATGAATGCCCTAAAAGTAATCAACCACTTCGTAATAGTCCTCAAGGACTGCAAGGACTTTGCATCAATCGTATATGATCGTCTAGCTATCATCAATTATTATTTTATTTCATGAGAAATGTATTCAAGTTTATCCCTGTGATAATTATGTGAACTCCACGACACTCTTCCTGTAGTATGATGTCAAATACAATGGGATCCACAAACGCAGTGCCAGTGTACTAGTAGTAGTAGGACTAGGAGGATTGCTTGTATGCCAATGACAAGAAAAAGCTTCTCAAGCTAATACTCGTATTCCCTGAAGTAACCGTTTTGATGTCACGAACATGACATAGTGTCAGTGAAACTGCCTCGTGACAACAAATCATTGCATTTCCATCTTGGGGAAGACTGACTGACAGCAACGCTGTACAGATTGTTCAAATCATCTCATTTCAATTTAGTTGCAGTGAAGTGAAACACTGTGTACACTACATGTATGTTGGTGTGTCTGTGCGTCTTAAGTGTGCACACACGATCTTATTCCTCGTATTACTAATAGATTATTGTCCCCACCATCACCTGTTCACAGGTCTTTGAGTGGATTGATTTTCATTGAGCATCACATTCGTTGAGAACTTGGTAGTTGTGTGCTCCCATGCATCATTACGGTAATAAGCGTATCCTTGTGCTATCTATTTGTTGCAGGTGTGCTGATCTTCAGAAGCTTGCGGAACTGAGTGCTGCTGAACATTTACATGGCCATGAGCAATGGTGAAGCTTGCTATTGCACTCTCAGCATGTGCTAGTATTATGCTGACTACTGCACTATGTTACTCTCTTACACTACTACGTGTATGTAAACGTGCGTGTACCGTCCCCGTACGCATTCGTTTCGTATAATTATTTGTTATCCCTCTTGACTTTACATGTAAATGGGTGGACGTTTGCATGGCTGTTGGAGTTGCGTGTGTATTGTGCCTCTACTCTTTTCTTGGTGTTTTCTTGGCGTTGTATAAGTTTGTGTGTGTGTGTGTGTGTGTGCGCGCGTGCGCGCACAATAATTTGAAAACAAATAATTAATCCTGGGCTCTCCATTATTCTCTTTCGATTCTTGGTTTTTTTTCTAGGTATTTTCTTGGCGTTGTGTGGGTGTGTGCATATGTGTGTGCGTGCACAATAATTTGGCAACACTACATGATTGAGATATCGTAATTTGCAGCGTCTGCCAAGAGACCACTTGATTTGAGGATGGTGTTTGTAGGGTTTTTCATGTAATGAAGTGGCTGCAGTGGCGCCTCAATACATATTTTTTATCTTGAGAAGTGAATGATGTAAAGGATTAAAGGGAGAGGCCGTTTTCTGGTTAATATTCACTGCTTACAGCAGATCCTATGTCTATTTTCGAACTCGATAGGGGATGCCTAATTGGCTGGACTTTATACAGGGGTGTTGTCCACATAAAGACTCTTTATAGTTGATTTCAAAGTTTGGACTCCGTACAGTTGATTTTGGACCAATGGACTCTATATAGGGGTGAAGCCAATTGGCTGGACTCTATACAGGGAGTGATGTCCATCGAAACTTTGAGCTCACAGTTGATTCCAAGTTTGGACTCTGTACAGTGGATTTTGGACCAATGGACTCTATATAGGGGTTGGACATCATATAGGGGCTGGACGCTCTACTGAGTCCAACATATAAACACACACGCGCATACACACACACACACACACACACATGTTCATGCACACACACACACACGTTCATGCACACACATACCCAAGCACAAGCACAAGCATATAAACACACACGCGCATACACACACACACACGTTCATGCACACACATACCCAAGCACACACACACGCATATAAACACACACACGCATACACACATACACACACACACGTTCATGCACACACATACCCAAGCACAAGCACACGCATATAAACACACACACGCATACACACACACACACACACGTTCATGCACACACATACCCAAGCACAAGCACAAGCATATAAACACACACGCGCATACACACACACACACGTTCATGCACACACATACCCAAGCACAAGCACACGCATATAAACACACACACGCATACACACATACACACACACACGTTCATGCACACACATACCCAAGCACAAGCACACGCATATAAACACACACACGCATACACACACACACGTTCATGCACACACATACCCAAGCACAAGCACACGCATATAAACACACACACGCATACACACACACACACGTTCATGCACACACATACCCACGCACAAGCACAAGCATATAAACACACATGCGCATACACGCATACACGCATACGCACACAAGTGAATAGCGGTACCCTAACAATGATCAATGAATCTATTACTCCTCCCCCACCCCCCCCCCCCCTCCCACGTCGCCAAAACCACCCCCTCCCTCCTCCATATGCCACAACAAGCCCCCCCCCCCCCCCCAACACACTACTATCCCCTAGTCCTCTTCAATACCACAACCATCCACCCCTTCCCATTCCCCCCCCCCTCCCCCCCCCCCGAAAACAAACATACACAACTACCAATGCGCCCCCTTTACGCGACCAAAAAATCAGTCCATACCTGCAGATAGCGTCTGTCCGGTGTCAGCTCCACCAGGGCCTCCGCCACATTGCTCTCCACGGCAACCTTGAAACCAACACGCCAGGTTACCATGGTAGCCAGCACATCATCCGATACGTGCTCACCACAGGCAACCTACACAGACACAGGGAGAGAGAGAAATGAGAGAGCAACAATATGAGAAAGGGCACTTGGAAATGAGAGAGCAACAAAATGAGAAGGGGCACTTGGAACGAAAGTCACACAGACACAGGGACAGACTTGCCACCAACCAGTCAGCCAGACAGCCACTCGACCAACCAACCAGACAGCCAGACGGATGGACAGTCACACAGTCAGCCAGACATACACCCAGACAGACAGATAGACAGACACAGCCGCACAGGCAGGCAGCCACCCAGCTACACAGGCAGACAGACAGACAGACAGACAGACACACAGAGACGCAGACAGTCAACCAGACAGACACTCAGACAGCCAGCGAGACAGAAAGAGACACAGCAGGCACCAAGACAGACAGAAAAATCAGATGGAAAAATAAAAAGAGAGAAATAAAGAAATAAAGAAAGAGAGAAAGGCAAATTGGGCTTATCTTACCTGTAGCCATGACACTACACTGAGCGGGAACGGCTGACCGCCCTCCATGGCCCAGCGGCGACCAGCGTAGCGTGTAAACTGTACATGGTTACCCCAGGCCCGGTCCCGTGCACTCTGCTGACCATCCAGACCGATGCTGCGGCTGGTCTCTGCACCCAGCATGGTGGCAGTCAGCTGGTAGTGTTCCAGTATGGGTAGACACATGGAGCAGAAGCGGAGAAGCAACACCAGCACCTCGGCATCACACGGTACCATGCTGAACAGCTTCTGCAGACCCACCTGCGACACCTGCACATACGCACACACATAGACAGTAACAATCATGTGCATGTTGCATTCAGCTTCTTTGATAACAGGGTTCCCATACTCCCCCTGTCCCCCCCCCCCCCCCCCGGCCCTGGATTCTGCCCATAACCCAATGCGTACCTTGCCCGCAGCTGCTGTGATTAGCTGCGAAAACAGGTTTGACATACTCCCCCTGTCCCCCCCCCCCCCCCCCCGCCCCGGATTCTGCCCATAGCCCAATGCGTACCTTGCCCGCAGCTGCCGTGATGGCAGGGTTGACAGTGTCCTGTTCGGGTGATGTCGGACGCATGAGTCTGCCAAAGCCGTCCCAACACAGCCAGTCTGGTTCCAAGACAATCATGGTGGGACCGTCTTCCTTTGTGCCCACGCTCACAAGCTATACATAGTGGAACAGAAGAGAACAGGAGCACACGGTATAGCAACAGAAGACATCATCAAACAAGTTGCCTCAATTATACGTTAGAGTGCCGAGAGATAAACTGGCTTCGTACTATCTGCCTCATAGTTGCATACTAAAATGTTTGACATGTGGAAGTATTTGATGGAAAAATATGAAACTTTAACCGTAAGCAGTGCTTGGAGTGCAACAACACTGTGATATAACAACTCATGTTGGATTTCCATAGCGCTGTGATAATCTTTGTTAGCACTGTATCAGAACCATACCCAGGGGTGGGATTTCCATAGCAACATGTTATAATCATAAACAGGGGTTGGATTACCATAGCAACATGTTGTAACCATAAACAGGGGTTGGATTACCATGGCAACACAATACTATAACCATAACTAGGGGTTGGATTACCATAAAAAAAGTAAATTATCGTGTCCGTTCCCGAAGGGAGCTCACGACGGCCGCTAACACCCGGTAAACCCTAGCGGCAGATGCAGCAGTACTGAACTATAACAACTCAGTTTGTATTTCACACCTTACTACAGTGCAACCTGTCTAAGACGACCGCTCAAAGGACCTTCAAATCCGTGGTCTCTGTTACCAGGTGGTCTCCTTATCCAGGGTCATTCGACTGGAAATAGCATCCCTCGGTCCTGGTTTCAGTGGTCTTCTAGGACAGGTGGTCGCCTTTTCCGAGTGGTCGCCTTGACAGGTTTTACTGTAGAACTATAACCAGTTGTTGGATTTCACTGCCCAGTGTCGTAGTACAACCGTAAGCAGTTGATTCAGTGGACACACTCGTACCTGACCAAGGTCGTGCAGGTAGCTCGTGACGTGCTTCAACATCGGAACGTCGATGTTGGAATCGGGCAACTGCTGCTGCACCAAGCGCTGGAACAGGTCAAACTCCACGATGGGCACCGCGTACTGACACTGCAGCTCCGGTAACAGCTGCGCCACGTCATTGCAAAGCTTGGGAACGTGACAGGTCTGTGCAGAGACAGCAATGCAGAAAACACACGATTGTACACTGGGACAAACCATGTAAAGCATTTTTCATTGAAATAAGTAATATGATCTGTGCATGCACGACCCCCGATTATAAGGTGCACTCCCACTTTCAGGTCTGAGCCATATTGTTTCAATACACTCACAGAAGTAGGAAGTCGCGCTCGATTGTAAGGCGCACTCTCTTTTTTTGCTCTTGAAGTTTAGTGTAAAAAGGTGCGACTCATATTCGGGGAAATACGGTATATATATTGCCTGTCTTACCCGTATCAGCTCTGAAGCCTCGACGACCACGTCGTCCACGAACTGAGACATAGCCAACGAGTAGGGTTTGCGGCAGTTGAGTATGTGCATACGACGGCTGATATTGAGCACACCATCATACTGATCCTGAAGATCAACGGGAAAACAGTCCAAGATAGACAACTTAGAATCGAAGTTCTCAAAATGATCTATTGTCCTACGACTATGGCTTTCTCAACCGAGGAATGTGGGTGGGTGCTTTCATGTATTACTGCTTGCAAGCACAGAATGGAAAGGCGGTTACCTCTCTTGCATGCCCGATGCTACTGTACGTGAGGTCAAATTACTGGGTTATCATAAATTATGGGTTCACCCTCGAGCCCTTCACTCCCCTCCCATCCCCCGCCCCCCCCCTCCCCTTCTTTTCCAAACCTCACATACATGTATCCATAGTCCTCGCTCCCCCCCCCCCCCCCCCCCCCCGAGTCTCTATCTTCTTTTTTTGAGATTTTATTTCGTATCGTAGACCAAACGGGCAATGATGCCCAATATCATGATGGCAATAAAGTAACAACAAACCTCCACGAAAGAGAGAAAAACACAGACTGCAAATGCTCAAAAAGAAGAGAGGAAAAAAAGAAGAAAAGAAAAGAAAGAATAGAAGTAAACAGTTCAAGAATAGAAGTACAAGGGAAAAAGAACGAAAGACAAACAAAACGAAACCAAAAAAGTCCTTCACCTTCCCTCCCCTCCCCCCCCCCCCCCCTCGCACCCTGGTGAAACCTCATGCACCCCGCCGTCCTTACCGCCAGTGTGCCGATGATTCTGTCGGAGAGTACGAACGACAATGCCGGGTTGGGATTCTCTGCATGTGTGCTCACTATCATCACCGACGGCCTCACAGCCACCGCCATACTGCTGAATGCTATCAGTTCCAGCCACACGTTGGCCGAGCGAATCTGCTCCTCGTACGTCTCCGTGGCGTTCAGCATCACCACAAACAGTGACGTCTTGTTACCAAGGTAACAACTGTTCAGTGCACACAATCACAAAGGTTCAGTCACGGTTGTCATGGTTGTAACACATCTTTGGCAACATTCAGTACAATTCACATCTTCTGAGCAAACGTATTATGGCGTGAACATCAGATCAGCACACAGCATTCACACTTCGCTTTTTGCTTATAGTGGAACACACGAAAATACCATATACATACTTAAGCATGCACACCCATATGCATGCACATGCACACACATGCATGCAGGCTCTCATGCACACACATGTGAATACACATGAGCGTACAAACTTGGACTCATGCGTGCTGCACATTGACGGACTTAAAGAGTGTGGAAACACAGTCAACTCACCAGTAGGGAAGATGATGTTGAACACTTGCTGGTACATCTCTTAGAATCACACCAATCTCATCACACATTCTCACCTGAATGCACGTCAGAAAAAGCAACCGAGAGTCAATATGAAAAATCCAAGATATACTTGTAGAAAGTAAGACATTGAGAGGGGCAGCAAGAGAAAGTGAGAGGCTTGGTAACTCATGCCACTAGTATTATAATTTAGTCGCTGACTTGACACCGCATCCTGAGGCAGCCGCAAAGGATTTGGGATGAGGATTTGTTTGACGAACGAATCCCGACTCACACATATTATGAACTTATGAATTTGTTTGCTCCACACACCGGAGCTTGCGCTTTTCCGCCGACATGCTCAACACTTGAGCGACTCACGACTGCCATCCAGAGCACACGAGAAGTCCATCGAATCTTTGAATCGTTGTACACCCCCTCTTGTCATTCATAAGGAGGCCAAGCATCCAATGACGCTATCCAAATGTTTGGACCTAGACACCAAGGATGGATCACCATACCTAGCGTAACTCACCAGAAAGCAATTGAACCGCTGTGTCGATGTCTCAAACGTCACGCTGGCATCGCTGTCGGAGTTCCTGTCGCTGCTGAACGCCTGCCTGCGCTGTACCGACGAGCAGACACACTGGATGAGCGATGACTTTCCAGAGCCGGAGTCACCAACAATACACAGTGTGGGGCTGGTGGGGGACACAACACCTCCGGCTTCCAACAGAGAGTCTCGTTCTGCCGTCTGCAAACACACACACAGAACAAAGAGGAATATGACGTACTGTACAAGCAGAACATTTCGCCGGTCAATAATGTCGTCCATGGATGATAAGAGTGTATTGAAAAACTGGACAAATCGACACTAGTCCAGCATATAATTTAGTCCAAAAGCTCCTTGGACGAAAAACATGAAATTAAATTCCAGACGAATATTTATGCTTATAAACTAATCGGAGAAGAACTGCCAGGAGCCAAGACCTCCTTGAATGTAACAACGTGAGAGAATATCACTTGGAACGTCTCGGGAGAAGGCCGACTGAAGTTAAGCAGTACAATCTTCTCCATCGAGTTGATCTTTGGAAACAACACCTGCCACGGAGCTGCATCATGGTTTCACAAGGGGGAGAGTGAGGGGAAGTCCCATGACGGAGAGTGGTGAAAAGCTTACCTCAAGCATGGTGGAAAGTGTGACCGTCTCTGCCAGATCCAGAGGTGAGTGGCCACTCTAAAAACAACCAAACAAACAAACATACATGCACATTGACGCAAACATTATTATGAATACTAGAAAAGAGCCAAATCACTATGAGAAGGCCGTGAGTGCAAACCATTTTGACTTCAATTGATCATTGGCTTATGATGGAGATACATGCACTCAAATGTTCGGAAATCAGCCAAACCTTCATAGCATTCTACTTGGTCCGGCTCATCGCACTTGTCGCTTATCTATCGCCACTAAGAACAGGAGGTTTGCTACCACTCTGTGAAATTTCCAATAGGCATAGTGAGGAAGCATGATACATGAATACTCTCCGCCACAAGAAAAAATGTCAGCAATGGAATCAGGTGAAGCGAATCAAAGAAGGGAAGCAAGGTAAGCAAAATGCACAAATTTGCTTTCACACTCTATTCAGAGTTCATTCAACTCTGCATCACTCGATCTGCCGCCGTTATTTGAGCTGACATTTGCTGGTGTCTAGCTGCTGGCGTAGACTGGTAGAGTATCTCTTGCTTTCTCAGCCTGTCGTATGGTAGCAATGGAAAAGGAACAGCTTCCGTGCTTGAAGGAACTGTGGGCAGTGTGACCTGTGTGTCACCACAGTGTGTTTCAACAAAGCTTTCGAATGAGGCATACAGGCCTCTCCAGACAGCTGTCATATGCTCCGCTGGATGCGCTGACCACGACTCTCGTAATGCTGCTGCCAGGTCCACGAAGGAATAACCAAAATGTCCCTCGCATCGCATCGAAAACACCTTTCTTCTTGAGGATGACGCTCGTGCTCCTCTGCCGTGCACGCGTGCCTGTCACGCTCTCCAGGATGTCAGTTGCCCCTGCTACAGTTCCCGTCTTCGGGTCACTGCGCTTGGCGTTTGGCAACACAGACAGTGAATGGCCAGATTCCC